TTCTTGACTATTACCTTTCAAGTGTAAACTATTACCTTTCAAGTGTAGATATGCTTATTATTTACTTTTTGTACTGAGGATTAAACCCAGGGTCATTTAAACACTGAGCCACATCCCCATATTTTTTTTATTTTTATTTTTTAAATTTTGAGACAGGGCTCACTAAGTTGCTTAGGGCCTTGCTAAATTGCTAAGGCTGGCTTTGAACTTTCAATTCTCCTGCCTCAGCTTCCCAAGTTGCTGGGATTGCAGGTGTGTGCCACCACACCCAGGTTATTATTTTTTTTTTAGGATAAGATAATGAATTGGACAACTCTTCATTATTTGGGGAATTTTCCTTCTACACTACTTCTGGTTCTCAGTTTGCATTACCCCTGTCCCACACTATTTTTTTCAGCAGATCAGTTCTGCAGTGGTCTACATAGCAGCAGAACAGAATACCCACATTTGGCCAAGGAGAAGAATGTATCTGAGTTCAAGTCCTTGTTCCCACATTTAATGTAGAACTGAAAATAATTTATTTTGCTAAACCTTTGTAGGAATTGAATAAAATAACATATACCAAATGTCTATAATATATTGGAAGCCCCAGACATGTCTGCTATTTTTATGATCAGTAATCTAACTGCCAAAACCTATGCCTTTCTCATATCTCATTGTCCATGATGATGCAGACTCATTGGGTATGGAGAACCACTCCTTCCTTGAGACCCTCTCTCCTTTATCCTTGTAGGGTCTCCATTTTTTAGACATCCTGTGTATCTTTCATGTTTCCTTCCTTGCTATTCTTTTATATGTATATATAAAAGAGCCATCCATATATATAAGGATGGCTCTTTTATTAATCTTACAAATACCTTTTTACCAAATGGCTCTGGAAAAAAATCAGGGTCCATAGATTGAACATCCAGTGTCTTCATGCAAATTCAGAGCCCAGCAATGGGCTGTAAGTCATTTGGGCAAAGCATTTGGTCTCTCTGAGAGCATTACACATTCTTCTGCTCAGCCGTGTTTCCTGCAAAAGGCAGTTAGTTGCATGTGATGGGGAGGAGGGTTTTGCCCTCATTACAAATTAATGAATCAGTAAATGAACCTAGAGTGAGAGCTTCCAGTTCAAGTTTGCAGAGACAAATTTCTGCACGCTTCTGCTGACTTGGTATTTATCCAGCATCCAGAAGGAAACAGACCATGAAGGGAATCTACAGAAATCGCAGAGTCTTGTTACAGACTTGAGATTTCCAATAATTATTTGCAATCTTTTCTCCCAGAGTTTACTAGCCTGCAGTAGAAAGGAGGTGCTCTCGATATCCACTGCTTAAAAGTCATCACAGTCTCTAAGGTCAGACCTCCAGTATTCTGTGAGGTCTCGCCCCAATGTTCCTGGTTGAAAGCAAATGAAAGGGAATATGAGGAGTGGTACAGAGGCCTGAACTCCTGTTTCTGAGTTTCGGCACCAAATGAAAGCACATGAAAGAGAATACAAAAAGAAAAAGAAAATGGAAGCAGACCTCAACAGACCAGCGATCCTTTATTAAGCAATGGAGGGGCATTTCAAGGGGAAAATGGTGGTGAGCTGTAACAACGGTCTGGGTTTTATAGGGTTTAGCAGGCCCAGGTCATTGAAGGAGTTTTGGTGTTGGACTCATTTAGGGAAGGGCAGGAGGGCAGGTAGGGGAACAGTAAGGGAAGTTCCCTGGTACTTCTTATCCACATCCTTCACTGGTAGTATGAGTGGGTATCTTTCACATGGCCACATAAAGATGCCCTTCTGTCATGTGTCTCTGATAATCAGGTTTTAATAGGAATTGAGCCCTAACACATGGAGACTCTCAGTCCTCTCCACTGTCCTCTGGGCATTGCCATCAATATATCAATATCCCTTCAGTTCCAAGTCTAGAGCTGGCTTTTGTGACAAATAAGAGGTCTCCCATCACTCCAGGACTTGGAATAAGACATGGCCATCTAGGTCCCAAAATAGCAGTGCCTGTGACCCTCACCTCAAATACAGTTCCCTCCCTTTCTACCAGTAGCCCTCTCCCCACAGACACAGATGAAGCATTCTGTCCACCTCTGTGCCTGTTCCCAGAGACAAACTGTGAACCTGGTTTCCCTCTTGCAGATCCTTCACATCCGTGCAAGCTACTGAGTCCCATTCTCAGATAGCCACAACTCTCAGTCTACCTTTTTGTAGCCAATAAAGACAAAATCCCTAATACCGAGGAGCTTAGTTAAAATTCCAGTGTTTTCTAGAAGCATTCAGGAACTTCATTCAGTATGGGGAGGACACTTGGCATAACAAATGCCTATGCCATCTTGGAACTCAGGGCTACAGGGGCAGCCTCCTTTCCTCATCTTGTTAACAAATTTGATGACCAGGGGTGGAGAAATAAGAGGAACATGACATTGTCCCTGCCCTATTGCAGCTCCTAGCTCAGCAGGACAGACAAATTGTCATTGATGATTTAGGAAGGGATACCACGGAAACATGGCATTGATTTGGAAATCTAAGAGAGATAAATGGACCAAGGAAGGAAATTTCAAGAATAATAAATGCTTGGAGATGTGTTTTGAAGATTAAGAGAAGTTACCTAGATAACCAAAGATTGGGTGGAAAGAGATTTATTTGAAAGATATACATGAATGAAGGTTTGATTCAGTTTGAGAAACCACAGCTAATTCCACATTTTCTTCAGGAAGGTAGCTATTATCTATCAGACAGGAATTTCTATAACCAGGACAAGGGTGGGGTGACAAGGAGACAGGTACTAGCTTCTTTAAAATTATGTGCTGAAATCAATGGCATGTATACCTGTAGTTGCAGTTACCTGGGAACAGAGGCAGGAGAATCTCTTAAGCCCAGGAGTTCAAGGCCAGTCTGGGCAATGTGGCAAGATTTCATCTCAAAAGAAAAAGAAGTTGGGGGTTAAGAGTTAGCTCAATGGTAGAGTGTGTGTTTAATATGTATGAGACCTTGGGTTTGATCCCTAGAACCATAAAAAATAAATTCATATAGTGCACAATTTTTAAACTTAGACTATTGGCTAATACTATAGCTAATTGGAGCTGGGCACTTGCTAAAATAAGATGCGTCATGTTTAAATTAAAAATAAATCAAATCCAAAGATGAAAAATTCTTTATTGTAAGTCCTGGTGTACTTGCTCACCAAGCCTGGAGTTGCCAGTAGACCCTGGGAGTTTTACTTCCAGAGAAAATCCTTCTCTGACCCTCCTTCAAACCTCACATTGTACACACTCACTAGAGTCTTGCAGTTTTCCTCATCACAGTGTATTGAAAGTGCATTTGGTGTGTGTATGTCTCTGTGTGTATGTGTGTGTGTCTATATATATGATTTGATTAACCCATCTCTTTCTCCAGACTCAAGATCAAGGAATTTTCTCCCTAGCATATTGTTTCTAGTATAAAATCTGTCACAGAATAGATGGTTGATAAAGAGGTGCTGATGCTAAGGCTCCTGTCATTGTGTGCTCTGCTTGCTGCTGTTGTGACTTTGTTAGAATTTTGTCTCTATTGGGCAATCAGGAAGTGTATCTTAAGAGGAGAAAGGCAGTGGCTACTTGGGTTAGTCAATCTGGCCTTACGGAAGGAGAGGCTGAAAGCCACTAGGGAATTGAAAGTGCTCTTCGAGCCAAATGTTAAATGAGAGGCTGACACTTAGAACAGGAGCTTTCAACTGATGTTTGGGATGGAAAGAGTAATAAGTTCTTTTCAAAGACATGAGGTCTGGCAAGCATGCAAGACCAGATACATAATTGGCAGAGTCCAGTGCGAAATCAAAGTGCAGCCCCTAGTTATTATTATTTTAAAAATTTCAAGATGGCAACACCAAAGCATTAAACCCAGGTCATGGCCCTATGTGACTGCACAAGTGTCCTGTTCACCAATCTGATCTTGCAAACATCCAGAGCTAATCAACCTTACATTTACAATTTTTGATTCAAAAATTAAGAGTTTTGTCTTAATGGGGGAGAAAGGCTTTTAAATGTTTAGGTGTGTTTCCTTTTCCTGCACACTCAGGTTATGTCTTCAAAAGAAACTGAGCCTTTCCTTATCCAATGATGCTATCTTTATGTTTCCAAAACACAGAATAAGGCAGGCTTTGCCCCCTGTGAACAGTCTTAAACTTGCCACACTGCAACGTCTTCAGCTTTTAAGACCTGGCTTAGATTTGAAACTTCACACACCAAAAAGCATGGATTTTTGAAGTCAAAAATGGGTCCAAATCCCAGTTCTATCATTTTTAGTTTAGTGACTTAAAACAAATTACTAACTCCTCCAATTCCTCATTTAGAAAATGGAAGTGATAGTGTCTAGCCCCACAGGGTGCCTGTGAGGATTCAATGAGGTAGCAAGTGGAAAGGAGGTGAGCTCAACAGATGCACTACAAAATGAGCAGCAGGTGTCCACACACTACTTGCACTATCAGCATTAGATTAAAGTGGAATAGGGGAAATTGTAGTGTCCACTCGTCAGGGGACCTCGTGCTCTGGTCTCTGCTCTTCTGCCACTGAACCCTATAAATAGCTAAGTCACTGTATCTCTGGGAGTCACTATTTCTTGGGTTGGGGAATGGGGAGACCTTGCAGGTGGTCCCTCCTGGCCATTGTCATTCATGGTCTTCTATTCTTCGGGGTTTGGTCTGAATTCTCACTATCCCACTTAAGGAACCACCCCTGACCCAGAGCTGGTGGAAGCCCAGCCTCTGGCAGAGCTCCGGTGGGCACTGCCAGCCCGTCTGCCCTCACTAGTCCCTACTCCCTGCGCTGGCCGCGCGGCCCCGCCCAGAGCCACTCGCGCCTCCCCCCGCCTCCCGCGGGCAATCCCGAGCCCGCTCGCCCGCGGCCGGGTGGGTTGGGTGGCTGTCACGACTGTGCGGTCGCCAGCGAGGTGGCCGCGGGCGCGGCGGGGCGGGGCTGGGCGCGCTCTCCCCCACGCCCGCGGAAGTGCTGGGGAGGTGGGCAGGGCCGGGGCAGGGGCGAGGCCGGAGGAGGGCAAGTCGGCGGCAGGGCGAGGATGGAAGTCCCCGGGACCCGGAGCTGAGCGACGGAGCGCGCGGCGGGCAGGCGCGCCGGAGGAAGGCGAGCTTCGCTGTTCCTCCGGGAGCCCAACACCGTTCCCGCCCGGCCACGATGATCCCTCCAAGCGGCGCCCGCGAGGACGGCGTAGATGGGCTGCCCAAGGAGGCGGCGAGCGCGGAGCAGCCGCCCTCTCCTGCATCCACCAGCAGCCAGGAATCCAAGGTACCGCGCACACTTGCCCCAAGAGAACACAAACTCACTCTGCCCTCCTCTCCCTGTCCACCTCTTCTCCTTCTTTCTGGCGCTTGCGCTACGGGAGCTGAGACGTGTCCCTAGTTCGGCCAGGGCTCAAGGACTGGCCCTCCCTTGAGACTTGAACCTCCAGCAGGACCCGCTGCTAAGGATGCTGGATCTCCTCCTTGTGGTCCCATCTTGGTCGCTCACACAGACCCAAGCCTTGGCGCTGGGCTCCGACCCGGGGAGCTCACGCAATTCATATTGACTCTGGATTCAGAGATCGATTTCTTGAGGCGGGTGGAGGATGCTTGGTGGTGGTTCTGTGTTTTGAGCCTGCTTGTGCCCAAGCGCATGTAGGTTTTAGGGGGCTTTTGAAGACGGAGGGATGGAGGTAGCCAAGGGATACTCCTTCAGAAAACCCTGGGCACGAAGCCAGCAAAAGGTCTCATCCCAAGGGTCTGAGAAACCGAGCCTTTGCTTAACAGGGCTCATCCCTAACTTCAGGTAACGATAGTTTAAAAAGGGAAATACTGGGCAAAGGGAAATACTGCGTTAGTGAGAAAGTTGGAGCTTCTCCTGTGGAAGTTAATACTCTAAGAACTTACACTTGTCTTTATAACAGTCACTAACACATATATACAAAACCAACCCCGCAGCACTTCTCCTGTCACTATTACACTTCCTCTGAAACTTGCGTGGGTGCCAGGCACATGTTTGGAAATCTTGGAAGAGAATCAAGTAAAATGTGGTTGCTAGCAGTGCATGCCAAATGGCAACTCAGTTGGGAGTGGAAATCGTAAGATGGAGTTTGTAGTTATATGGATTTTTTTTTTTTCAGTGCAGGGATCCTGGCTCCTTGTACAGATTTGGTTTTGTGTGTGTGTGTGTGTGTGTGTGTGTGTGTGTGTGTGTGAGGACCCCAGGCATTTTGGGAATGTGAGGCTGTCCCTGTATAGTAGCAAAGGAAAGGAGGATGTCAGTGTAGAGGGTAGGTCAGATGGGGCAAGGAAAAGTACAATCCTGTCTCCATGCACACACATCCCCAGAGCCACTGATGAAATCAGCAGTATCAGAATCACAACCTAAGTGACTCTGGGGATGTGGTGGGATGCTGGGCACTGCACATTTCCCAGCCTCCCAGAGATAACTATCCAGGATGGTCATCTTTGCTTTTTTTATTTTTATTTTTTCTGTTAATCACTTGGCCGACTCAGGGCATGTGTTAAATTTTCTAAGAGTCAGTTGGAAATGAGGGCAAAAGCCTCTCTTCCAGGATCATGGTGAGGCATACATGAGATTGCCTAGTTTCCATCCTGGTAATATCAAGACTCTTGTATTTTTCCTTTTCTGTTCTGAGGTGGAGGTGGAATCCATCACATCGCAGATGATCCACCCCAAAGCAGGCTCACAAATCACATACGCACTACCTTTCTTCCATCTGGACGTTTGAGGAGTCTCATGGTTAACCATCAGTTCTAGAAGCAATGTGGGTTAGGGGCCATTTCAAAGGTGATCTAGAATTCTGTAAATGAATATACCTAAATGCAAGAGGGACACTGGTGTGAAACTTTTTGAACTGAGCCTGTTGCTCTCCTGTAGGTGTGTTCCGAAAAGGGCTTAGCATTTGGGTAAACAGCAGCGGTGGTTCAAACACACTGTATGGGTTTGCTATTTATAGATGTTCTAATGTAAATTATTTGGCAAAGCAAAAACCTCATATGTAATGCCCATAATTATCCACCAATTTATCTGGCTTATAGTTTCAGATTTATATAAGTCGTTTTTTCTCAGTGTGGTCTACACACCTGATGTGTGTTTGTACATTCCCAAGTGTGCTATCAGAGCTTAGTCATCTTAGTGAGAGATAAGCATGGAGAGGCCCCAGAGTCCCAGGAAATTGAATACAAAATAGCGTGCCTGCATCTGAATGTTTCTTGGCATAGCATTCATGCTATCTTCAAAGGGCTCCAGGGCCCTCAAAAGTGGCTACATTGCTGGAATGGAGGATTGTGTAGCAAGGGAGTAGGATGGCATGAAACAGAACTATCTATTCCTTCCACACCAGCAAGGCCAGAGTGTAAAGTTCATTGACATTGATGAAGATCTTCCATCCTGAAAATACGAGCCCCATAGGAAAAATGAGCAAGGCAGTTGTGATCGCTCCATCTTACTATCCCGTGAAGTGCACTTATTTGTCAAAGATAAACAAGAAAATAAATTTCAAATGTATCACTGCAAAAAAGTCACATAAATGAGGTGATAGATATGTTAATTAGCTTGATTTAATCATTCCACATTGTTTCCATATATCAAAATATCATACTGTATCCCATAAATGTAATACAGCTGTGATCTGTCCGTTAAAAATATTAATCAGGGCTGGGGTTGGAGCTCAGTGGTAGGGCACTTGCCTCACAAGCGTGAGGCCCTGGGTTCAATCCTCAGCACCACATAAAAATAAATAAATAAAAATAAAGATATTGTATCCATATACAACTAAAAAATTTTAAAAAAATATTAATCATATTTTTAATAAAATACTCCATGAAACAAGCATGATTCAGGCCCCTCTGTGCATTAAACTTCCTCAAAGAAGACTTTTAAAATCACTTTTAAAAAACATTTTTCTTCGATTATAAAAATAACAAATATTCTATAGATATGTGACAAGTTCTTATAAAAATAAAGAAAAATAATCACCCCAATCCAGAGACAACAACTGACAGAACTTTGATCTCTATCTTACATCTTTTTCTTCTATTTTCATTTTGCATGGTTGAGAGAACAATGCTTGCTATTATTCATTTGGTAAGTGATTACTGTAAGTCAGGCATAACCTTAATCTTCAAAATAGAAGATTCTGTTATTATTTCCATTTTACGGATAGAAAGGCAGGCAGGACCAGGATGCAGGCAGCATGGCTTTCAACTTTTCTGCCACTATCACTCATACTTGTGCAATGTTTTACCTCAGGCCTCTTTTAAGCCTAAGGATCCTACACACCACTAAAAGTCATATGCAATGTGTCTCCTTAAAAATCTTTTCCAATAAATTCAACTGCAGTACCACGTTAAATGATTGATGGCCAATTCTTGTCCAGCCTCTTTGCATTGGTTTTTGCTACTCACTCCTCAAAAGTGTATTTACGGAAGTTAATTAAATGGAGCATCACAGGATCATCTGGAAAATGGGACCATGAAAGACCCTGCAGTCCACAGGATCCATAAAATTTCATAAAATACCTAAAATGTCATAGTACATAAAAATACATAGTCCATCTCCAGATGTAAAATGAGTGCATAAAATGTCTCCAGAAGTCCATTTGCTTTGCAGAGTCTTTGAAATGCTAAATCCTAGAACATGAAAATTGGAAACATTGGAAATCATCTCTTCCAGGTACTTTTTAAAATTATGGATCAATTGTGGGGGAAATTTATCTTATTGTAGAACATTTCAACATACACAAACGAAGAGAAAGCAAGTATAAGGAACCATCATGGATCTAATTGCCCAGCTTCAGGAATTATCAATCCCTGGACAGCGTTGTTTCTATACATCCACCATCACCACCACCAGCCCCCATTCTCCCACACAGAATCATTTGAAAGCAAATTCTAGCCATGAAGTTATTTCACTGGCAAATATTTCAGGTTGCATCCATAAAAGGGGCTCTTTTTATAAATGTGACTATGATCCTATTAGCACATATTCCAGGTGTTTCTTCTAGTCAAGAGTCATATATATATATATATATATATATATATATATATATATATATATATATATATATTTGGAGGTACATGAATGGTCTTTGGAAAAGCTGTGAGTAAACAAAACCAGCATTCAAAGTTGCACATGTGCAGGCATTTGTGCCTTGTCTGGGGAAAGGATTTATAGCAGACATCAGATCCATAAGGGTATATAACCTTCAGTGGCTGTTTCTCTCCCTCTCTCCCCTCCTACCTCTCTCTGTCTTCCTCTCTCCCTGTCCCCCTCTCCCTCCTTTTCTTTCTCTCTCCCTCTCTTCATCTCAGAAATTGCAAAAGAGAGGAAGTGACTTGTTTGAGATAGTTACTGGCAATTCTTCTGACTAAAAACCCTGTCTTGGATTTTGGATATCCCAATACAATTTCCTCAGAGAAAATTCCTGTAAGCACATGTAGTAATGAAGTTTAATGTAATTGTGGTTTTTCTTTTTTATTGGTTGAGTTGAAAAAGTTTGAAAACCACTAATGTACCCCACTCTACTATATTTCCATTAACTATTCCAGAAAGACCATGGTCTAATTTATTTTCTAAGTGCTAGACAGAGATCATTGAACCAAAGAAAAATTTCATGTTTCTGTGACCACAGGCAAGTTCCTTATGTCTCCAAGCCTTGGCTTCCTCATCTATAAAATGGAGATGCTAATGCCCAATTGGTGTGGTTTTTCTGTAAAACCTAAGAAAGTGTAGAACACTCCCTATATACTTAAAATACATACAAGCATGAAGCACTGTTTGTTTTCTCTTCTTATTTCAAATTGGAAGACACCTACTACTCGCCAACCCTAAATGTCATCATTGGAATAACTGCAATTGCTGCACTTGACATTACAACAGCATATCTAAGTTTGTTCCCTTTGGACTCTTAGTTATGCTATTTACTACAGTGAGATCTCGCTATTTTGCATCCCCAAGACCTATAACATGTGACTTCATTTTTGAAAGTGTGCACCCATTGCCCCAATGAAGCCATGAACCAAGGAGCCATCTCACTCCCGAATGGTCCTCTCTGAACCTGCAGCACCATCCAGCCTAAGGGAAAAAGTCCCTAAGGATGAGGAAAAGTCCTGAATCTCAGAAATCTTTCTGTGTCCGTCCATCAATAAGTATTCTTGAATGCCTACTTTGCACTGCACATGCACCACATAAAGACATGAAGCTGTTATTCAAAAGGAATTTAACTTCTACTCAGGAGAGAAGATGAAATAAAATGGAACCTT